ATTTTTGAATTAAGAATTCAGGATATTATACCTATAAAACTATACTTCTCTCCTTAAAAGAAGGTGTCCAATATCCCACGATTCCAAACTAAGGAAAAGGACCCTGATAGAGGACCATCCACTGTGCACCAAGTGGAGGTATATCATGTGGCAATAATTAAGTCATAATCTCTCATCACATTCACTCTTATATTTCCAACAAGAACATCACATCCATAAGGTCTCAAAACACACGAACATGCTAGAAAAGAGCCACACATATTGCTTATACAACTTTAAATATTCACAAGCATGCTTGAAAGGATTCGAGTAATCATATATAATTCTTATTAAAATTCAATTCAAAACACTAGATACTTAAAGAGAATCAAAATAATAAACACAAAATTACACAAGCATGCTATAAATGTTTAAACACGTATTCCTTCAAATCCAAGCGACTAAACAAATTCTCAGTAGACATAGCCATTCCCGATATAATTCATACATAGATATAAAAATTAACAGCTTTCCAAGAATATGAAAGAATAAACCATTGTTACTTATTTTCTACGCTAAAACTACACATGTCGGAACGTGCTTAATACTATCAACTCAAATATTACTATAATTTTTTTGAAACTTTGGAATCAACTAAATAAATTGTTGGGATTTGATGCTACCCAAATGAAACTGCCATCTATAACTCTCGCTCACAATTTCAACCTCTCCCTCTTGCAAATCTCTCATGGCTATGGAAGTAAAGAAGGATGCCTTGGGGAATTCCCAAGCATCAACTGACAGTGGCCCAAGTCCACTGTTATTGTTGTTGTTGTTATTTATTATATAGTATATTATTTATTTTCTTTCCTTCGCATCTGGTCTCGCCTCTTCTCTTCTTATGTTATAAAAATCTATTTATTTATATACATAATATATAATATTTTTAAAATTTTCAACATTTAAAAGTTTAGGCATTCTACTTATATATAATTTTTTTGAATGATTAAATAATTAATTTATGACGAATTTGAAGCACTATTTTAATTGCTTATTTTATCCCATACAATTTTATATCCTTTTTTCCCTAAATTATGTCTTTATTACATTTTTAAGTAAATTATCTTTACTCAAGTTAATTACATGGTAAATTTCAATTACTATGAAATCTTATTCCAAGGTTATTAAAATTCTAAAAAATAAAAGTTAGGATGTTATATACTCCTCTGGTCTTATTTATAAAGTAGAGAGAGAATAATTTTTTTGATTTTATTTATAAGTCACATTATTAAATTTTTATCACAAATTTTTTCTTTTACTCTCCATTAAATGTTGGAGAGAAAAAATATATAATTAAAATATGTATATTTAATAGGGGCAAAGTTGATAATTTATTAAATTTTAAGATAGAATTAATGAGTTTTAAAGTTTTTCTTGATACTGATGAAATATGTTAAAAGTAACTTATAAATAAGATCATAGAAATACAACACAAACTAAAGACAAATAAAACATTAATACAGTCTCTCCCTTTGCTAAAATATGGACATACATTTACTTTCACAAAAGCTTTAAATTTTGCATTTATGACTTATAAATTTTTAAGCCAAAGGCTATGGTTACAAGTAGGTAGAAAAGTTTTTTTTTTAAAAAAAAATGTTGCAGTTAAAAAATTATTATTTTAATAATAATTTGTTATTGTTTTACGATGTTCTTACTTTTATACATGCTTAAAAATATAAACACCTTATTTTGCTTCTGAACTTGTAACTTGTGAAAAAAAAAACAAGATAATTTTAAAATTATATAAATATGAAATATATCAATATGATATTATAAAAAAATAATGTAAAAATTATTATTTTAAATGTCAATAGTTATGGTCAAGCATGCTTTAAACTTTTTTAACAGAATGAAAAAAAAATAAGGATAACCAGAAAAATGTTGCAAAAAAGTTTAAAGGAAATAATTGAATTTAAAAAAAAAATTGATGGACCCGCTGTTAATTCTTCTGTTCTATGAACATTAAAATATTTTATACTTTATTATATATAAGATAATTAATTGATCCAAGGAAAACACCCACCCATTTTTACACCCACTTATAAGCTCCTTTTACTTTTAATTTTTAAAACTCAAGGTATTCTTTGATATTTCACCGTTAAAATCCGAAGATGCGAGGCAATATAGATGAGCACGAGTTTATGAATGCCTAACTCATAGCATATACCCTTTTAAAAAATTAAAAGTCAAAAAATATAAAATATTTTTAATTTTTTAAGATATAATTATTATTTTTTTAAAAGTAACTCTATTGATAATGACTTTATATTTATTATAGGATGTTTAATAAGAATAAATATAAAAAGATAGGATTAATTTAAAATTAAGTAACTACTTTATTAAGGGTGAAATTTGATTAAAAATATTTTATATGTTTTAATAGAGGAAACATTTTAAATGGATATATATATTTTTCTAGAAGTATTCATGTCTCGTAGATTATTCCACATAAGAGAATTATCCATACAAATCATCGAAATTAGAGTGCGATTTATTCCTCAAATTACGCGAACAGTGTCCAAACTTGCGTATAGTTATTATGTTTTTTTTTTCCCCTCTCATTCACTGGCTCATAATGTTTAGCCGTTGATTATCAGGCTTTATACTGTTTTACAAATTTTTAAAATAATAAATAAATAATAGAACGGATTTTTTTTTTTTTGCCAACATAGAACGGAGAATCAACGCATCAATATGTGTGTGTGTAATACATATTTATAAATAAATATATTCATTGAAAATGTTGCCTGATTTTTTCATGCCAAGCAAAGAGTCTTTCCTAGTTTTGACAACAACAACAAAAAAACAAAAAAACAAAAAGTCTTGCTACGAATTTATTCTTAAACTTGAATTCCGTACTTTATTGTCTTCATTCCATGTAATTATTAAAGAGAAGAAAAAATTTAAGTTCGGAGACCTAATTGGTTTATGCCAAGCGCATTATTGATATCTTTTACTAACATACTCTTAATAAAATTTGCTCTCCTGTTAAAAAATATAAAATATTTTTTTAAGAGTTAGATATTAAAAAATATAAAATATTTTAAATATTTTAAAATATAATTATTTTATTTTTTTAAAAGTGTTCATAATAAAAAAATATTTTATATTTATTTTAAAGTAAAATATTATATTAAATAAGAGTAAATATAGAAAAATAATGTTAGAAAGATAATATTAACTTGAAAATAAATAACTATATTATTGAAAAATAAAATTCGGTTAAAAATATTTTATATTTTTTAATAATAATATTATAATCAATCTTTTATTTTTGTGTATTAATAATAAAATTTTAAATAAAAAATCTTGAACTAATTGTGCAACCAAACTTAATCCCCCTTACTTTAATATAAGACATCTTTTAGAAATCTTGCTTGATTCAAAATATAGTGAATTGAATAACTTTTATAATTTTTTTAACTATATCCTTATTTTATTTATTACTCTTTGATATAGGAAAACCAAACGATGACTCACAATAATTTGAAATTTCACGGTGTATTATTTCATGGAGAACAACACTAATTGAAATAATCTCACAATTGAAAAAATTCAGTTCATAAATTCACTCATTCTTCTTAAAATACAAAAGACTAAATTGTTTAAATAGACTCCTAAAAACCTAAATGATGCAACTCTAATTAATCTAGGAATCAAAATGGATAGACTATATCCTTAATGGATATATTGTATCCTTATTTAAGTTTAATACAAAACAAGCTAATTATTTAAAATTAAATATGAAAATAAAATAAGATAAACTAATTTTTAAATTTTTTTTAAAAAATAATATTAATTAAACTAATTGTACTCATAAGTCTGAGTATCTTAAGTTAGGCTCAACATGCTAAGAGTGTTTTTGGGTCTTCTAGGACTCATTTATCTTTAAGATTTCTTGATCATGTAGGACATCCTTAATTAACGAATTTAGGGCTACTTTCATCCTCTTTGCTTTTAATCTAGTTAGTAATCCTTTAATGCCCTGCAACGGATTAAAAATACTAAATGTTAGATTCTGACTTGTCTCTTGATTCTTATCATTCCCTCTCTCTTGAAAAGGATTCATCTTTAAATCACATGTATCAAATAAAGAAAAGTCTACAATGTTAAATGTAGCTGACACATTCCTATAGAAGCTAGAAAGGTTTATTTTATAGATATTATTATTAATTCATTCCAACACTCAAAAAGGTCCATTGGCTTTTGAATGTTACTTTGTCTTCTTTAGATTTGGAAATCTCTTGAGATGTACCTAAATCCAATCTTCAAGTTCAAAGACAACTTTCATGCACTTTTTGTTAGCTTACTTATCATACTGCTCATTTTTTCTTTCAATTGAAACCTACACCTTAAAAGGAGAATGAGACGCAGAGTACGCATTTGGACTTAAAGTAAGATTATGGCCCAATTTATCGCTTCCAAGTGTGCACTTATGTATTGAGACTTCAATGTGTTGATTTGAGCTCTCAACACATATTATAGCCTCTTAATTATGGATATCTTTACTTGAGTTTTTCTGTATTTGAATGATATGATTTTGGGTGGCTTAATGACAAAGCATGCCACCATAGATATGGTTCGTACATATATTGCCATGTAGGACTTAATTGCCATGTAGGGTGTCATCTTGGATGCCCATCACTTTTTTTTTTTTAATTATGCATTACAACTTTAATTATTATTATTAATATTTTTATATAAAGTATTTAACAAAAATATAAATAAAAAGATATGAATATTTTTAGAATTTTAATTAATATTGTTTATAAATTATAAATTATAAATTAATTAACAATGATTTACAGCGCTATATCAATACATAATTAATTAATCCTAAAGGAGAATGCCCGCATTCTTTGAACCTTATTCTCGAAACAAACAATCGCAGGTGTGGGTCAAGCGCAACTACTACGCCGCAGAGTCAATTTCAGCCACAAAGTCAAAACGTCAAATGTGAAATAGCTTCGTGTTTATCAGGCCGTAAAAACAAAACTTCGTTTTTATAGCTGGTAACGTCAATTCCAGAATAAGCCTTCTCCGAGCTTATCGGACGCATGTTTTTCCAGTGCCTGGTTCTCCACAACAAAGAGCGACCGAACAGTGTTATGGGCGGCAGGAGCACTAGCGGAGATCGCAGCAAAATTGGGGGTTTCTTCTTTGCAACTCTGCTGCTTTGGTTAGGCTCTGTTTGCTATTGCATACTTTTCAACAATCGCATAGACCTTCTCTTCATCATCGCCGGTTCTCTCTTCTACCAAGCGGCTAACTGGGTCGTACGAATCTTCTTCTCTCGAGACCCGCTTTTCGTTAACACCTCCGTCTCTCTTCTCCATTCCACCGCCACTTCAGCCTCAGGTTCCTTTTTTCTCGTTTATTTTTGGAGATTTTCTCACTCCGGGGGCTAAGTTGCATTGTTATTGTAAATTAATTTAATAAATATTTGTAATCTATCAAGTAAGTGTTAGAACCCTAAGCAATTTTATGAGATTATGCATTCAAACCTCTAAATTATGCAGCGTGATGCCCATATGCGGTGGTGCAGGTAGGGTTACCACGAACGTCTCGGTAATGTAATTAATTAACTGGAAACAGTACGAAATGTCACAAGTGCTGGTTACAACATTTTATAAGCGTCCTTGCTTATGAATTTGTTGAAGAAAAATCAATCAATGTTTAAGACGACTAATGTCAACGTTGCTGAATTTGTTTCTTTGATTCATTCTGTTGTTTTTTTTTTTTTTTTGGGGGGGGGGGTTGGGTTTGCACTTCATAAGTTTTAATTGCTAGCATATTCTATTTCTACCGATGCTTCATTTTATATGTATTTTTTACCCCTTTTAAATCATTTTTCATGGGGATTTTGCTGTTTGCTGTGTTCTGCAGTGGTTTTCATATTGTATAGACAGTGGTCAACGAACGGGTCAAAGGGTATGTTTGAGCACTCACGGTTGGTTGAAGGTACTTGGCCATGGGCTTATGAAGCGTTGTGTTTTTCATGTGGTTACTTTGCATATGATCAGTGGGATATGCTCCGTTACCACTTATATAGTGGTTGGATCCCTTCCATCCTGGTACATCATCTGGTTCTCCTCCTCTGCTTTAGCCTTGCCCTATATCGAAATGTCACCATCAACTACCTTATTCTTACCCTTATCTGCGAGGTATTCCTCAGTTATTTCAGGGTTCTTCTCCAAGTTTTTGGCCCATCTGAAAAACCATCTCTTGTGTTTTAAGCCGTAGTGTTTATTTTATTCCATGGCAAAGTCAAGTGTTTAAACTAAAGAGGATTTTATGTTGTTGTGCAGCTGCATTCAATCTTTCTGCATGTTAGAAAAGTGAGACGGATGGCTGGTTTTCGGGATGCGAAAAACAAAATTGCTAAGGTAGAATGGTTACTTAATTGGGGAACCTTCTTTGTGGCAAGGCTTGCATCTCACATTCTGATCACAGTCAAGCTCATAAAGGATGCTCACAGATTTGGAAGGGGCGTGGAGCTGCCATTGGCTCTGTTTGGCATGGCTGGCATGAATTTGCTGAATATCGGACTTGGTATTGATCTTTTCAATGCTTTCAAGAGGGAGAGAGAGTCACAGACGACTTATCGTCGTGAATGAGAGTGAAGCCGGAAAAATAATACTGTCTAATTTGATCATTCGCCATTTGTTTTGTTTGTGTTAGAATAACCTCGCAAGAAATCATAGCAGACGATGACATATTTGTCTCAGAGGGTTTCTTCTGCCTCCAGATTATCTCAAGTAGGGATATTTAACTTATACTTATTCTAATGGGCCTGATTCAGTTTCAATCATATTGGGACAGGTCTCATTTAAATTTGAAAACAATCGGGACGAGATGAGAAAGGAATTTGAGATAGGATAAGACACGAGATTATCCTTAGAATGACTCATTCCATCCCAAATATTATATATATATATATATATATATAATTTTTTATTTTAAAAATATACATTAAATATATTAATTATATTAATATAATTTATACTTATATTAATTATATCAATTATAATTTTAATATCTACAATTCTCATTTAAAACTAATATATTTTTATATTGATAATTTTAATAACACAATGTAAGTAGTATAGGATGATATTTTTCTTTATAATATATTAATTATAATAATAACATTTATTTTTATATTTATCTATTTAATAATTTCTATTTATTGTATTTTTTATTTTATTTTTAAAAGAGTAATTAATTTAACATATCTTAATTAAAAAATGATAATTTTATATTGTGTCTGACTTGTTTGTAGTTGTTGCACTTGTAGTCTAAAATTTATTTGTAATTATTATTATATGTTATGGATTTATAAGTTATAATTGTGATTGATGTAATTTAATAATTAATTTTTAATTGTTGTAATTTAGATATTCATATTATTTTGATTTTAAACTTAATATATTATGTGATTTGAAATTTGAATAAATGTTATTATTGTAACATTTTTTTTACATTGTTTAATTTATCGAGATGATGAGGCATTCTAATATTGTCCTGATTTTATTTTGATTTTTAATGAGATTAAAAAATTTTATGAGATGAAATACAAGATAAATATATATATATATATATATATATATTTTTTTTTACGACAAGACGCGGGACATGCATGAATACCCTAATGTCAAGTCATGTTCTAAAAAAATATTGTGTGTTTTGGATTGTGCTATGCGGTGTCATTCCATAGCAGCCTTTCCAAAATGAAAGGCAGGTCCCACCGGGAGTCGAACCCAGGTCGCTGGATTCAAAGTCCAGAGTGCTAACCACTACACCATGGAACCAATGTGCTTTTATCTGAAAATATTTTAATTTAACGACTCCTGCTGTTCCCTCAAGACTTCTGCACTTTTCAGTGAAACTCTCGTTGATTGGCATGTAACAGCCCAGGAACCTATAAAAAAATTTCAGTACAATAGATTTTTTTTTTTTTTCCAGTTTGGAGAAGCGGCCAATTCACCAATCACCATTATTAGAGTAATTACCCCCCTCCAAATTCATCATTTTATAAGATATTTAGATGATAGCAAAGGTATTTTTGTTTCTTTAGAACCTAGAAAAGACCTGATGAAGGTTGAGTTGGGTTTTAGACTCGTGAAATTTTTTTGAGAAATTTAAAAAAGGAAATAGCACATAGTTTTTTTATTTATCAACAAAGATACAATTACTTTCATCCAAAATACATTATTTTGAAAAATAATTTCATAATAAAATCGATCTTTATTCAAAAATTAGAAAAAATATACATGCACTGGGTCAAGCCAGGTGAATATGCTACCTACAGCTTGACCGGCATGCTCGCTCTGCCCAATGCAACTCAATATGCCATTATCAGGTAAGATCGAGGCCATTGTGTCATTCATCTTCATAAACACTCAGTGGCAAAGCCAGAATTCTGAGTCAGGAGGGGCAATGATGGAGTTAGGATCTTTGGTCAAAAGAAAACATTTTTGTTTCTTTCAAATCAATGATTTCTCTTTTCTTCTTTCTTTTTCTTTATTTCTTATAGAGTTTTCAATTGTAGATTTGTAATTGCAGTGAGCTAACAAAAAACATTCACTCAATTTATTCTTAAGTTTTGAATTTTCATTATTTATCATTGTCTTTTTGTAACTAATCCTTGAGTATTATTCAGGATGAAGAGTGAGTCTATTTAGTCATATTAATTTTTTTTATTTTTTAAACAATTAATAAATAATATTGACATTTAGGCATAGTGAAATTATAGGTTAATATTCACAAGGTTAAATTAAAAATTTGAATAAATCTAGACTAAAAAAGTAAGATTGAAATGGTTTAAAGTTTAAAATATAAAAATAAAGGGTGCAAAGTATAATAAATAAAAGATGTAAATTATAAAATATAAAAATCTATACTCCCAAACACATCATTTTTTCCAAGTGAGAGGGAGCATATGCCCCCCTCAATTACATGTGGCTCCGCCACTGTAAACACCCCTTGTAGAAAAGTAAGACGGAATAAAAGGAAAGTGCCCACAGCATGACAGCCGTATGTTTCGTTGTTCACGACCAGTGCGGATGAAGCAGAGCTCCCACTTAATATGGCCAGTAGAAACCAGAAATAGGATATGTAACTAATTCTTCAAGACAAAAATGAAGGTTTTCGATAAAATATCCTAAAAAGTTTGGTCAGCCGCAGAGAACTGGAACATCAATACCCCTGATCATGCAGACAATTGGAATCTCAGTTAAAATGTTCATGCCATAGACCAGACTAGTAAGCTTTTAAAATAAAAGACGAAATTATATTTTTTCCCCAGATAAAAGCCTGTAATTGGTGCTAATGGAGTGTCATTAAATCTTTTTTTTAATGATAACTCAGATGTCTCTAATCTACACACCATGGTACATGAATGAAATCCATGTTAGTTTGTATCCAACACTCTAAATTTCTAGCCGAATTCCACTTTTTGTTCGAGAGAAAAATTTAGCAAAGCCATTTCGACTTCTCTCAGAACTGACATTTGGTAACCTGGCTGATGATGATAAAGAAGACGAAGGTGGCGAGCCTTCATTTTTGTTCAGTGACGGGCTATGGCTCCCTTCGGCTTGTTTTGAAGAACTGGAACCTCTTTTAGGTGAAAATGTATCAATAGAATGCAGCTTCCACGTGTCTCCACTGGCTCGAGCAATGAGTGATGGGCTTGCAGAGAACTCGGGAATGCTAGCAGTGTCAATGAGAAAATCTTCTAGTGTTGCCAGAGATTTCAACTGATTACCCAAAGATGCGATTGTTTTCTGGCACTCAGCTAGCTTTCCAGCAGCTAATGCTAGGTCTTCCTGGCACAGAAAAAGACCATAAGCATCAAATGAATGTTATAGGTTTTAATTGCCTGTTACTATGTTGTGTATGAATATGCAAGGGTCAGGACTTAATTTGTACTTCTGAGACCTACATTGGATAACAGGTTGTAGAGACTAGATTTGATCATTGCATGTATATTGTTTATAAAGCATATAAAGATGTCAATGAAGACCAACCTTCTTCATCTTCTTTTCGCCGTATGAGCTAACTGCGCACCTGAGGTTCTCTCCTTGCTTCTTCCTTTCCAGTTCTTCTTCTAATTCTTTACACATAATGGCAATTTCAACTGATGTAGCCCTCTCCCTATCAACCTCTGCTTCTAAAGAGTCAACCTTAGCAAATATTGTCTGTGCCTCTTCCTCCATTCTCACAAGTTGATTTTCTATCATTTCCTTTGATTTGTAGGCAACTTCTAGCACTCTTTGCATCTCGTCCAGTTTCATCTCCGCTTGTCTCAATTGAAGCTGCGCTACCTCAATACAGTCTTCACTTTTCATCAAAGCTATCTCCAGCTCAGCTTTCTCTGCTTCTGCCTTCTCTAACCTCCCTATTAGTTCAGACATTTGCTGATTCATATTTTCAAGCTCTGTTCTGGGGGAGCCTTCTTCATAAATGCACTGATTTGCAGCAACTGGTTCCAGGCAAGAACTCTCATTCTTAGTTTCAGACAATGAAGCAAGTCGTTCCATTTCAAGAAAATCGTCCATAAGATCAATGTTGATTGAACCGGATGAGGGTTGCCGGCACTTTTCGTTTTTGAACTGATCAAGCTCAGCAATTAGCGCAGATGCCCATGAATCGGAACAGCTTGTCTCACACTTGTTTGATTCCAAGCCATTCATCTTATGGAAATCAACGATCTCCACTGCATTAAGCCGTTCCCCACTGTCAGATTGACTATCTGAGAGAGATTCCACACAAATTGAGGCTGAAGCAGAGGATTTATGATCGTTAATTGAGGACGTTCTACGAGACATGCTTTTCAATCTCCGGCACTCAGCCTCAAGCTTGGCCATTTTCTTAATGCTTTCCAAGTGTTGTTTGCTAGCTGTCTCAGCTGCTTTAGTGCTCAAGTCCCTCTCAATTGTCCTGATTTTCAACTCTTCAAGTTGAGCAGTTAGATCATGCTTGAGATTCAAGTTCTCTTTCTCCAAATGTTCAACCTTTTGGTACAGATCATGATAAACTGTAACAGGAGATCTAGCATTAGAAGTATCTAGTTTACTCTGGAGCTCAAGGAGCTGTTTTTCAAGTTTAAGTTTAGCTGATTCCAAGTCATGAGTTTTCTCTACTACAGCATCATGTATATTTTGTTCCTGTTCTTCTCTTGTCTGCCTTAACTGTCTAACACACTCTTTAAGTGCACCATCCAGATGGATGACTCGATCTTCAAGCACAGAATTCTTGAAAGCCGCTGATTCTAATTGCTTCTTCCAAACAGCTGCTTCATTTTCAGCCTTTTCCCAGCCTAAAGCATATAACTAAATTAGAGGAATGACTTAAAAAAAAAATGCAATCAGAATCATACAAGTTAATTATAAAATATAATAATGCTAGGATCGTTGCTTGAGCCTTTAGATAGATTCCACATGAAGCCCAAACTGATTCTGATATGCCGTTAACATGATTTAAATGTAGTTTATCCTTAAATTTCTATAACATTTTCTTTGACAGGGAGGAAACTCTTGTTTACTTGTACAATTAGTAGATGGATACAAGAGAAATGCAATATTAAAAATGTGTACTAATCATTAACGACAATAGCGGTACCTGCAATGGCTTCTTCAGCAACTTTTGCATGCTGTTTAACCAAATCTTCTTTGGCACTGACATTCACAAGCGCTGCAGACAGCTTCTCTGACAACTTCTTTAGACCCTCGTTAACATCACCTTCCTTTACATTTTTGAAATTGTCTTTAGAATCATTGCCCTCATCTTCTAATGAACCATCACTTCCATTGTCTGTAGCAGGTATAGCTTTTGAGGTGACCTCAGATGCTTGTGCATCAATAGATAAACTACAGCCAACATCCTCAGAACAAGGTTCTGCTTTTGAGGTGACGTCAGGTGATTGATTGCTTCCATTAGGAGATTCCCTCAATGCCTCCTGCTCCATGGATTAAAAAAAATTACAAGAAATATCTCACCAACAGTGGGGAAATCAAATTACCAGACGTATCAGAAAAGAGATTGATAAAGTAGATGCTAAATTTCTTTTTGTTCAATACAGCGAATTGGCCCCTTCATGCTGAAACTAACAGTATCGTAAAAATAAGCTATCGGGAGTTAAGCATATGATATTTCATATTTGTTCTTGATTCAAGACTAGTGTCAGGTAGAATAGCTAGAGATTCGCGTTATGAATAGAGTCAGGGTTCTGGATGCACTTTCAAACCAGCGGCTAAAAATTGCGCTGGAACAAATGACAGCATATATGAGTCACCGGGCAGTATGGATTAATCATGATTGAGGTTAAGGTAGGATGCTATAACCTCGAAGTTTGGACGAGACTTTCCCATTAGATTCATGAATCATGAGACTAGAATGTGTACACCTGTTCATCCGAGGATCTCTCAGAATGGGATGACACGGATCCTGTTCCGTCAGAGCTGCCGGAGCTGTTCTCAGAAGATTTCCGCTTCCAAGACCACCTCTTTTTCTCCATCACCAGTTTCAATAATCTCTACATTAGATTCCGAATTGCAGGGGGTTTCATCTGCACACTTTAGACATTACACAAAATGTTCAGAAGGTCATCGAAAATCCACCGTCGCTCAAGAAAACAAGAGAAAAACTACGCCCTAGCCTTCACTTCAAAGAGCAGAATATCAAAAAGATACTTCCTCTTTATCAGTGACAGTTGCTTAAACAGAAAGATGACTCAGGACTCAGCTTAACATCCTAGACCAGCTTTGTTTCTAACCTACCCCATACCAACTATGAAGACAAAGATATCAAGAACAAAAATACAGGCAGGATGACAGGATACCAGGTGTCAGGTGGAGGAGAATAATTTTTAAAGCTCCCTCAACATAGCCTCCCCACCCAAATTTCCTCAGAGGAAAAAATTTACAATAATTCCAATAACCACCACCAAATTCACTGAGCGTGGGCGATGAAACATCTTGTATTGCAGAGAATGGAATAACTTAAGCATATCGGATACCCAAATGCAGAAGAACCCAAATATACAAGTGATTATCACAGCAGTAGAGCACAATACACCACCTTACCACAGATGAAATACATGACGAAAAAATAAGTTCATTTACGGTTGTGAGCATTTAAGGCAGAAAACTGTAGAACAAAGAAAAAGATAAATTTACCTTTGACCAACAGGAGACCAAGACCAACCAAACCTGAGCCAATGAGCGTCAGGCCGACAGGAAGGGTTCAGAGTTCAGCGCGCAGATAAAAAGATGGTGGAAGTAGAGAAAGGGAGCATTGGTAGTAATGAACAGTCTTGAAAATGAATGGGCAAAAAATCCGTAGAATGTCAGGGGCATTCATATTACCAGCTAAGAAAGAAGGGGAAGGGTGGGAAGAGCTGCAGATAATGAGGGCTTCTATTTCTTGTTTTCAGCTCCTCTCCGGTATTTTTTTTTTTTTAAATACAAAAGATAAAATTACAGCTAATAACCAGATTTCCAGAGTTTTAAAAATATTTAGTTATTTGAAATTTAGGGTCATGAACTGCAATTTTGACTAGGAAAAAGGGGGCCATGTGAGTGTGCATGTAGTAGGGTTGTGAAAATCAAGATGGTGCGACCACCAACACTTTATGCAGCTTTTTGGGAAAAATGAATTCGAATTTGTTTGGGCATTCCATAATTCGAAGTGGAGGTGAGCAGCTGTTGTTCCCGCCCACGGAAGGGGATGTGAGGATACTGATAGGGATCGGGCTCTTAATATTGATCTCCTTCATTATCATAATTTGCCTCCAACCCCTCCTCTTGTCTTTTGCTGGCTTCCAATTTTTGTTGGCTTTTTATGGTTTTACTTTTAATTACCATCTTCGTTTAATTTATGGAAGACAACTGTCTTGCTTAGTTGTTTCCCTTTCAATGTGCTTCTTCGTCTGGACGATGCTCCAAACTAAAGATGCCAATTTTTATTTTTTATTTTTTTTTAATTTTCCTTGTTTTGAGTTTGAACTTTGAAATGATACTGAATAATAGCGAATGCTCCAAACTAAAGATGCCAATTTTTATTTTTTATTTTTTTTTAATTTTCCTTGTTTTGAGTTTGAACTTTGAAATGATACTGAATAATAGCAAATGCTCCAATGCAACGAAATGGATGGGCTGCTAAAGAGTCAAAGGGATAGGCCGTGGTGAAAGAGAAGGCGTCAAATATGTGCCACGGAGTTAGGCTGTGTTTGGATTAAAGAGAGGATAGAGAAGATGAAGGAAAGGGATGGAGGGTAGAGGAAGGAAAGGGCAGGAAGTGAAATGTATCTAATGTTATGTTGTTTGATTTTATTAAAAAGGAGGGAAGAAATTTTTAATAATTCTTTATTTGATTTAAAAAGAAAGAGAAATAATAATTAATTTACTATTATATCATTATATATTAGTTTAATTTTTTTAATCATTTTTTATGTAAACTAATTTTACATCTTAATTTAAATTACATGATTTATGAAAATTCACACTCATAATGGCAATTTTTATTAAAATAAATAAATAAATTGACTCCCTAATGGCTTCAAAGAGCACAGCGTAGAAGACATAATCGTAATTTGAAAGCGACAGCTGTAGTACGCTTCAGATGCGAACAAGGATGATTCAATTTTGGTGAATTCGAGTGGTGCGGTGTCTTCATTGTCCTTGTGACGGATGAAGGTAATCTCATTCTCGAAAAACTAAGGGTCCGTTGGGTTTTCAGTTTAATTTATTAAAAAAAAATTTTAAATAAATTTTAAATCCAGATATGGTTTGAATTTCAATCTTTTTAAAAAAAATTATTTAAAAAATTATTTTTAAATGTGATTGAATGTGCTTTTAGTCAACTTAAACTAATAAAACTTTAAAAAGTAAATTTAAAAAATAAAATTTTATTTAACCACACTATCTCGACTTTAATATCTTATTCTTTTATTTAAAAATAATTAATTAATTAAAAATATAAATATCATTTAAATAATAATAATTATATATCAAGTTTTGAATATTATAAATTGAATAATTAATCATATTAATTTTAACATTAATGTATAACAAAAGTTACAAATTTTTATCATATTTTTTTTAAAATTACAAATTAAAAAAGTATGAATAATTAGATATCAAGTTTTTAATATTATAAATCAAATATTATGTTATTTCAAATTTTTATCACATTTTTAAATGTTTCAAATATATTATATTTGTATAATAAAAATTATAAACCATCATAAATCAATATCCTTTTTAGTAATTATATATTTAAAAGTACATTTTACTATTATCATCTAAGTAACTTTCAGTTTATCAAACTAATTTTTAAAAAAATATATCCAAATATAAATTTTATTAAAATAATTGACTTTTACTAAATTAATTTTTATCAAATAAATTTTCAGCAAATGTATTTTTGGCAAATTGAAAACCAAATACACATTAACATAGTGACCTCTCTTTGAATGCTATGGCTTCATTAGAGGTAATCTCATTGTCAGAAACTAACACTGGAGGTAAGGAGTCAAAGGTTTAGAGAACTTCAATTAAGAGTGGTTTAAGGTCTAGAGAAGTGATTGAATTGCAACATGAATGGGTGACTAGAGGAGTCCGATAGGCAATTGTTGTCACAATAGAGAGGTGCCTAAGAGATGAGGTAGTCAAAATAAAGGTAAGATAGTCTTACATTTAGCTCTCCCAAATAAAAAAAACCATAAATTAAAAGGGAGTAATATGAGGAGAGAAGAGTGTAATATTGCTTAAATTACCCCACAATCTTAGCCATAATACTATACATTATCATGGTAATTAAGTATTAAGTTCCCTTATCAACTTATCATGGTAAAAGGGGTTATTAAAAAAAGTAACTATAGTAAAAAAGGAAAAGACCAAAGTAAAAGGTCTACTATAGTTAATATATTTAAACTTATAATTTGTAATTTAAAATAAACAACAATAAATAAATCCTATAACGGCAGAACAGATTCTATCATGGTGTAAAAGATTAAAACCACTTAATAGTTATTAGTATACTAGAAAAAATTTAAACCCATCATAAGTGGCTATAATCATACAATTCATTGAGATCTCAAGTTGAACAAGCATTCCAAAACATATCAAGGTACAAGTATGCTTAAATCATAGTTTCAAAGCATTTAGAAGCTTGGGATACCATTTAGTTTGAAAACAATAGTACAAAAGGGTTAAAATTTTCATTTTTCAAAATATATTGGAGCGTCCACCACAACTAACCACAATGTATTGCAGTTAACCTTCTATATATCATGAGCTACGGCACATTGTATAAAAACGATAGCATAATTATTGTCAAAACACATCTCTATGGTGAACTTTTGGAGTGCCTAAAGTCTTTGTTCGACATTTGATTGAGGTGATATAGGTGTTTACAAAAAAACTTATTCTATAAACTAGCTAACAACACTAGTTTCCTTTTAAAAGTATATCATATCAACAAGTTAGGCACCCATAACCAACGACACTCCTTCTTCATACTTAAATACTTCAAAGGTGTCCAAAACTCTAACCAAGTACTAAAAGCCCACATAACCACTTAGACCAAACTCTCAGAATTTAGGACAACCTGTACAATGCATGACGACACAAATATTTGATAAATATTGCATCTTTACTCATTAAGCTCTATTTCAACAAAAACCATGAGGGAGGTATAATAGCATATAAATCATTATATATGAGTTGACATCCATCAAAATAATTATAAACCTATTTGCAATAATATTTAGACAATCGTATCACGTACATAAGGCTTATGGCACCAAATACAACCCAATCAATAAATATATCATGCAATGGTATAGGTAATAAAAGAATTATCCTAGTTGGCAATTACATTATAAAAAACAAATATAATTGACAAAAGAAATAAGCCTACAATAGAAATCCTAAATTTTTATGTCTTGGTGCTTTCCCTTTATCTTTCTTGTAGCTAGTATTTGTAAAATGTAGAATGGGGGTGAGTGTAACCATTCAATAGTTAATGTAACTCTCCGTGAGTTAACAATTTAATAAGACTAAGTTCATGTGAATAGATCAACCTAAGCTCATTAATTATGAGGAGCTACTTGGCTAAAAGGTTTTATGTTCACTCCTAAACCTCAAATTCCTCCATTCTCAAATTCATTGGGGTGTGTTGCAAGACTTATCCTTCACTTAGTTCGGTGTAAGGTTAAAGACTAAGGGTTTAGGCAACCTATGCTTATGCCCAATCTTAGGTGAAATTCAGAAAGACCTAACCCTAAATCAAATCACCAAGTCACCCATTATTTTGGTTATATTTCACATGGAAATAAAATATTACTCCTCCTAGGACAACTTCCTGCCTAATAGATGATCATACAACAATGGTTAAAGCATCACCATGCATACTAGAAACTCTTAGCATACTCAAGCTAATACACTCATGTATATATTATCACAAAATCTCATGTTCAATCATAACTTTTAACTTTATGTGGTCAATGATATAATAGCATTTGTATAATGAACTTTTCTCATTGGTACAAGAGGTCAAACTTGCATTTCATTTTTTAAGACAATAGACAAGTTTTATTTGAATAAAAAACATATTAATCATGTTCACAAATACTATAACTAATCTAATAAGTAATAGCAAGATATAAAATTATCTCGATTATCTCAAATCTTTGAGTTCTTAAAGGTTACCCTTAATAATTTTCTTTTTGAACTCGGATTAAGGTCACACAATGTACCACAAATTCAATTTACAATTAACAACAACCAACATTACTAGCCACAACATAAATGCTACTTTCCAACCCCTGAACTCACACTTTAATAACTCAATTTCTCAATTACAGGCTCAAATTCACAACCAATGAGTTTATTGACTCCCATTAACTCCCATTAGAACTAAAGGGTTTGAACCCCTAGCCCCTAAGTTTGAAATCAACATCTCCCATGTGTAGAGGGAAAGAGAAGGGATAGGGAAGCCTATTCTAAAATGCTAAGAAACTTGTGCCATATGTAAAACTTTAAAAATCTTTCCAAAATAATTAACTCAACCATGGTAGAAAAGTGTCTAACATGATAAATAAAAGTCAACTAATTATATATATATATATATAATTTTGTAACTTAAAACATTACCATGATATGAAATGATAAAAGATAGTTTTATAAAATATTCTACTTTTTTAAAATAACTACCATGGTAAAAAAAATTAAGGTAGATAAATAAGTACTATCATATATAAGTAGAATTTAAACTTCTTGAATTATCATTTTTAAATTTTGGGATCCCAAGCAATTATAAAAAATAAAATAAGTGTGAAAGACTCAAAAGATTCCTTTAAAATTGAGAATATAATAAACCCAATAGAATAGAAAAAATAAAAATAGTTATA